AGATGCTCCCCCAGCACGAGAATCCAGATGTTGGACATCGAGCCGGGCAACACGCGGTACGACCCGTGATTGCAACGCAGAGACCCACGTCAAAACACCGTGAATACCTACCCAGTGTGACTTTTAAACTGGCAATACAATCGGTCACATGGCGGAGAAGTAATGACTTGTACGGGACAGCGGTCATCCTAAAAATAACGTTTCGGAATGTTCATTGACAGGACTGTAACACGACCACGGTGAAGACACGAGAGCAGCCTCATCGTCTGTGATGTGTTGTAAATTAAACGTGAGGCGACCGGTTTCCGGCAACGGTCCATCTTCAGGACTGGAGATACCATATTCTCCAGGGGGAAAAAAAGAAGATTGCTTTGGAGAGAGTAAGGCGCACACAGAAAGCCTGTGGGGGTGCGAGTAAATGTATGAAAACCTGGTAACACACAGACACACACACAAACACATTCCCGATTATAAGATGCAACCTCACCTTTTGACCTTTAAACACAAGGGGGAAGAAAAGTGTGTATTCCAATCTAGAGAATACGGCCGTTCAGTGGAGGCAATTCACGCTTTGAAGGTGAAACACTGCCCGAAATGGCAGCTTACGAGGCAAGTTATTGTTTGGTAACAGTCTGGGGAAGAGACATCACCTTGGGTCGAGACAAACAACTGAGTGGCAGCCAAATGAGCGAAGGAGTCTGAGCAAGCTCAGGGAAGATGCAAATATTTATCCAAGTAACATCAAACTCTTTGGTTCTTTCGGTAAAGTCACGTAGAACGCTCTTCCTTCCAATATTAGGAAGCCACTGGAGCTATGCACTTTTAAATCCGGATTGAAAACTCATTTCTTTAGAGGTGCTTTTTGTGTTTAGTTTGTTGTGCCGCCCCCGCATCTCTGATCAGCACTGTTGGCTACATAGGGTGCGAAAGAAGTTCAACATACATACATAGGAGAGGCCTTCATGCAGCACAGGACTGACAAAGCGCTGTGAATTAATATTACCGTATTTTCTGGATTGTGTGTTCCCGGTGTCAATAAAGCTATCGAACTCTGGTCACACACACACACCTACCAGATTATAAGAGAGACCCTCCAGATATTATTTAAGATAGCATACAAGGGAAAAAGGTCCATTTTGTAACCTGGATAAAACGACAGTATACAATTATTATTGCGTAACGCGAAGTCGTCTCCCAGAAGTGCTAAATTCATCTTGTTTTGACATTTATAAACTCCGATCGTAATTTCCGTACATCGATGCGGATAAATAGGCTCTGTCGGATCGATAACCCTCCAGATCGGTGCAAACAAAGATGTGCTTCACCACTGGGACGAGTGGCGCATTGGGATAGAGGCGGCCAGAGCTCAACTCCTGGTCCGTTGTTGACCAAGCCCTTTGTCCGATTGGCATCGATCAAATCAGTGGCATGCTGGGGAAAAGTCAAAAAGTGATCGTGTCGAGATGTTTCTCCTCACCAGAGGAACGGGGCAAATTTCCACCCAAGTATTGTAAACAAGATGTCCAAGTCTTTCTATGATGATCTTTTTATTTGGTCATTACAACTGCAGAAAAAAAAATCCAACTTGGGTTCTATAAAGCGTGATTACGTGACACGCCTGTTAACCAGCTTGGCACCCAACCCAACTTGCAGCACCAAACAGACACTGATTGCCACGATGGCCCAATCTCACAATGTTTTCATCATCACGATGATGATGATAATCTTTTTTGTTTTACCAGTTAACGGCCACTAAGCGATATAGCTCCTTTTCAGAAGCGACCTTGCTCAACAAAGTGGCTTATCACGTGGAATTCATAGCGGCCAAATACTCCTGACGCATGTTTCTAAATGTGGAGGGAAAACACAGAGAAAATTCACGTGACCACGGAGAGAAAGACACGCGCAAACTCCAAATATACAGGCATCATCAGGGTCGGGATCGAACCCACGACCTCCTGCACACCAGGCGATGGAGTTAACGTCTCGCCATCGCAGCACCCCGGACGGATGGCAAATCAGCTGGGCAGCATTGAATTATGAGCCCTCGTGGTTACACGATAGGGCTGATGAAGAACAGTTAATGCAGTTGCCACGCAGTTAGGATCCTGGTGTCCTAGTTTACCCTGCTTGATGTAAGCAGGGGGGCATAGCAGAAACGTCACGAACACAAAGTACTTTCATAGGCAAGTTTAGATATTAAATATTTATAAAAGTACAAGACATCCAGAATCCAAACACAGGCACGAATGTCGTAAACAAAATTCCAAATGAGAATATTACTTGTTTATGTTTTCACATATTTAATATTAATTACAGGTCAGCGACCGCTAACAACAATATCAAGTTGTGTGTTTAATATGCCTTTATTAATTTTATAATTTCACTGAGGCACCTTGAGGAGAATCAAATCCAACGTGAAAAATATTATTTCATTAGAGTCTCGCCAAAGATAAATAAAGCATGTTGTGAATAGTACAAGATGTAAATGACGGTATACTTAATAAGCAGGACCCTGCGGGGTGGGCTGGTAGGAATAATACTTAGTACCGGTACAGGGATATCGACCGGGTATAGAGGAGTTAAAGAAAAAAATACTGTATTCTAGTGTAACGTTAATTAAAAGTGTTTGTTTTGACAAGAAACGCAGTGAGATTTAAAGACTCGTAGTCTTTCATTTCCAACACCACCCTCAACACCATCCCTCCCACGGACGGACGGACGGACGGACGGACACATTAATCTATTGGTGGTCTGGTCCACTTCGTTCCTACCAGTATAATTTTGTATATAATTAATAATAATTTTGTATATAAGATATATGCAAATGTTTACATATACCGCAGTATAGCAAGGCCAGAATTCAGAATTGTGAGAACAGGCTCATGGGAAAACAATTAAGAATGTGTGTAGGATCCATGAAAGAAGCATCACTGAGTCTCAAGACTTGTTTTCAGGAGGGTCCTGCAATGGGGCGTTTGACCAAACCGCTATTATTTTGGCACGTGGGAGGAAACTTGACTACCCGGGGAAACTCCACACATGCGAGGAAATAACATACAGAAAAAAACATCGTGTGGTGGAAAAAAACAATGTCCCCAGTATTTTGAAGGCAATTGTGTACACTGTCAAGTTCAGTAATAATTCATGCTCTTTGGCAGTACGTTTTTTTCCACTCCCTCTGCTCTCAATGGCCATTACAATGTTTCTGCCAACGCATTTATTGAGGGTTAATCTAAAATCCAGTTGCGCACTTGGCCTGCCACCAGCCAATGGCCCATACAACTCAGCTATTACCAAAACAGCAGCATCAGCAGCACCAACATTGGTAGCAGCAGCAGCAGCAGCAGCTGCAGTAGTACATCAGTAGCCAGGAGTACTGTAACGACCTCAGCAAAATCAACGGAGCAGAAGCAGCAGCAACGTCTGTAGCAACATCAGCAGTAATATCAGTAGCAGAAGTAGCTACTTCCTAGCAGCAGCAGCAGCAGCAGCGACAACAGTAACGTCTGTAACAGCTGTGGCAAAGTCAGCAGCAGCCGGTGGCAGAACCATTAACTACGGTGGCATCAGTGGAAGTGGCAGCAGTGACAACTATTACACACACCCACATTAACTTCCGAAGCAGGAATATGGCCATCAACAATCATCACTTGTGGGTGACAAACACCAAGGACAGATTTGAAAGGTGGTGGGGGATGCGGAGTTGTCGCGAACCCCATGTCCAGTTTCAGAATATGTATTCATATACTGGTTGAATCCGATGAGCTATAAAGTTATTTTTTCCACAGATGCCCAGGATGGGGCACGGGTCAAAACGTTACAACCACAAACAATACAAGAACACGATAGTAATGCAAACGTATAGGAAGGGTAAACAATCGCTTAAAAAAATATATATCCTAATTAAACTAAACTCTTTTTTAAATCTTACCAGGTAAAGCCCACCGAGGTTATTAACCCCTTTTTCAGAAGTGACCTGGCCACAAATGATAGCTCAACAAAGTAGCAATACAATGTGGAAATTTTTAGTCAGCAAAAAATTATCTAAGCAAGAGCCATTAACAATCAGTGGAGCTGTCCAATTATTCCCAAGTACCACAGTTCTACAACCACCACAACCGCAGTGGCACCAACCCATCCACCACTGCGTTTGAATCCCACCGAGGTCAATCTTGATTTGAAGCTTTCCTGACTGCAGGAATCCATACTCGTTGGTTCTTTCGGTAAAGTCACGTAGCTATAAAATAAAATAACTCATTTTTTAAAAAGCAACCTGGCCACAAATGATAGTTCCACAAAGTGGCTGTATTATGCGGAAATTTATTGCAACAAAACTAATATAAGCAAACGCCATGGGGGTCCACGTGAATAACAGTGAGTGGGACTGTCCAATAATTCCCAAGTACCACAGTGCTACCAACCATCCCAATAAAGTGGTGGCAACAACCCACCCACCACTGCGCTCGAATCCCACCACCATTCCACTCACCACCACCAGCATCACCACCATCCCTCACTCACCACCATCCCTCACTCACCACCATCCCTCACCCCTCACCACCACAAGCATCACCACCACCCTTCACTCACCACCACCAGCATCACCACCACCACTCACCCCTCACTCACCACCACCAGCATCACAACCATCCCTCACCCCTCACTCACCACCACCAGCATCACCACCATCCAACACTCAGCACCACCAGCATCACCACCACCACCGCAGCCACCATCCCACCACCACCACTCACTCACCACCATCACCACCACCACCAGCATCACCACCATCCCTAACCCCACACTCACCACCACAGCGTCACCACCACTCACTCACCACCACCACCAGCATCACCAGCATCACCACCACCCCTCACTCACCACCACCATCACCACTACCACCACCCCACACTCACCAGCACAGCATCACCACCACCCCTCACTCACCACCACCATCATCACCACCACCACCCCTCACTCACCACCACCAGCCTCACCTGCAGGAGCTCCCTCTCCACCTGCTCTGCGCGCACCACGATGGGGCCCCTCACCGCGTACTCCACGGCGCGCACATTTGGGTTCATGGAGTCGAGGGTGAGGCCGCCCCAACGCTCGGACCTGCCGGGTTCGAGTCCCGGTTCGGGGCTCTGCGTGGAGGCGAGAGGTCTCCGCGGCTGGGACGCGTTCGCGGCGTGCGTCGTGCAGAGCCTCGCCATCAGGAGCCGGAGTCCACATCTTCCCAGATCCATGGTGGTTGTGTGTGTCTCTGTCTGTGGTTGTGTGAACTTTGGTGCCTCCTGTTGTGTGCTGGTGACCGCGGTTGTGTCGATGTGTGTGTGTCTTCTGTGTGTGGTAGTGTGTCTATAATTGACACACGTGTGTGTGGTAGTGTGTCTACAATTGACACACGTGTGTGTGGTAGTGTGTCTTCAATTGACACACGTGTGCGTGGTAGTGTGTCTACAATTGACACACACGTGTGTGGTGTACGTGGAGTCTATGCAGTTAGAGCTGTGTGTGTCATATAGGATACAAGCGCAAAGCAGCGTAGATTATAACCACCAATAATATACCGATAAACTATAGTCGATAGTATGAATTGACAGCAACATAAAGTGTTGCTTGCGCCGTGTGGCGAGTGAATGAATGGATGCGTGCAGTGTGTGACCGTGTCCCTGTATAAAATACAATGTACACACGCAATGTTTATGTATATATATACACCGTGTGCTGTATTAAGCGTGTGAAATCACACGGTATCTGTGTGTAGAATCTAACCTATACACGTGTGTGTGTACGTGAAATTACACGGTGTGTGTACGTTAATATACAGCGTGTGCTTGACTGTGTTGTCCACACAGACGGTGACACTCATACGGTGACACACACTCACAGTGACACACACGGTGACACACACTCACGGTATATGTCGTGTGTCACGAACACGCTGTGCCCAAGACAATACTGGGCGCTGTGGTGATGGACTAAACAGCATCAACGCGACGTGGGAGGCGGAGCGATGCCGGTGGCTCAAACCCCCGGAAAATAAAAGACAAATCAAGACGTGAGACCAGTCGTGATGGATGATGTAACACGGTCGTGGTGTCCAGTGAATGTCGCTTCACCCCACTGACTTCTCCCCAGCCTCGAGGCAAAGTCTATAGCCTCCCTCCTGTCTCTGAGTTGTCCCTTACCCCTTCCTCTGGCCAAGACGAGACACAGGAGATGAAAAACAGCGGCTTTGTTCAATTCAAGCAGCCGTGTAATAATCTCGCCGTCACGTCCGGCATTCTTAAATACACCCACCACACACACGCGCAAGACAGGAATATCAACCGTACGATGTAAATATTATCGGCAAGCGAACGGTGCGTTAACGGTACTGTTACTGTAATTATATTCAGTGTAAATAATTCATAGGGTGGTTAATACGATAGCGCGCAACAAGGCAATACAACGTGTGATAAATACAATAGTGTATACTCGATACAATGGTTAAAACAATACAATAAATATATGTAGCGTAAGCGATACAAATGGTAGAGTGTTCAGTGAAGAGTCGCTACGATCCAGTATACAATGAGTGCACTGTATTGACACGTGTGCTGAGCCGGCTGCGGTGGGGGGGGGGGACAGGGGCGGGGCCAAGTTTGTGGGCGGAACCGAATGAAGGAGGGAGGCGTGGCCAAGTTGTAAGTAGACGGAGCCAGGTTGTGAAGTGGGCGTGGCCAGGCGGTAAAGGGGCGGGGTCAAGTGGTGAAGGGGCGTGGTCAGGCGGTGAAGGGCGTGGCCAGGTGCTGAAGTGGGGGGGGCAAGTTGTAAGGAGGCGGAGCCAGGTTGTGGAGTGGGCGGGGCCAAGTTGTGAAGTGGGCGTGGGCAAGTTGTGAAGTGGGCGTGGCAAGGCGGCGAAGTGGGCGTGGCCAGGTGGTGAATGGGCGGTTCCAAGTGGGTAGGGGGCGGGGCCAGGCGGTGAAGGGGCGTGGCCAGGCGGTAAAGGGGCGGGGCTAAGAGGTGAAGGGGCGTGGCCAGGCGGCGAAGGGCGGGGCCAAGTGGGGAGGGGGCGTGGCCAGGCGGTGAAGTGGGCGTGGCCAGGTGGTGAAGGGCGGGGCCAAGTGGTGAGGGGGCGGGGCCGAGTAGAGGAGATAAGCGAATCAGAATCTTGTATTTATACTGCAGGAAAAATCCGATGAGCTACAAAGCTCTTTTTCACAGATGTCCAGTAGGGGCACGGGGTAAGAACGTTACAACAAGAAACAATAAAAAACACGACAGCAGTGTAAAGTATAGGAAAGGCAACGAATCACCAAACAAGTAATATATATATTTTTAAACACGCTTTCATGAAATGTACCGTACTGGTAATGGAAAAACTCCACGACTCCAGGAAGTGGCCCCGAAGCTTGCCATAACGTCAAAATTTACAGCCAACGTCAGTTTACCCAAGCCAAAACATAACATATAAAAACATTCTGTTTAAAAGTATATACATTTTTATTTTGATATAAGTATACAAAGTTTGCAGTCGATACCATATTCGGAAGTGGGTTAAAATTGAGTTACAATATTTGAGGATGCAACAACGACAACAACAACAGAGTGAGTTAAATAAAAGCGTGTAATAATAAAAACATACAAATACATCTTCTTGGTTCTTTCGGTAAAGTCACGTAGAAGGGAAATAATAAAATAATAAAAATAAAACATAATAAAATAATTCTCCATCCTTCCAGACAAAGCTCCACTGAGCAGCGAGGGGCGGGGCCACCTCGGGGGGGGGGGGGTGAAGTCACGTGGCGGTGGGGGGGGGTGCAGAAATAACACGCGCGCTGCGTCCTGCGATTCTATTGGCCGAGAGAGGCCACGTGGGCCCCATAGATGTCAGCCCCCACGTGCCGGCTGAAATGCCACGTGCGAAGCAAATCAGCTGCTGCGCACGTGCGAGATGCGGTCACGTGATAACCATGGCACCGACAGAGACAGACCTCTCCTAAATATAAACTCCACGCTGCCGTGATGTCACTGTTAGTCGAGTACAGGAGACTTATAATCCACAGTTCGCCGGTTCGATACGATATCCCGCTGGGATATGCGATATGTTGAAAGATTGGACACATTTCTTAAATCCCACCACACCCATTCCCCCGACCGCCTCTGTCCAACGCAGCCGTTATGATTGAGTACACCCAGAGTTGACGGGCGGCAGGCCGCGTGTGTTGACGAAAAGGTTGGGTGCAGTACTCCCACTTTTGCCAAGACGTCTCGTCGCCTGTCCGGTGTTGGTCCAATAGCGCCCTCTAGTGACCGCGCAGACACTCTGCCGTCAGCGGTGGCATGGGACAAGACATTGCAGGCTAAATGTAATTGCAGTGCCAATGATTATGCCGATGAGATGCGCTGTCTGATATGGCAATTGTTCACAATTGCACCCAATAAAATGTAAATAATGCAACATAAATTGGTATGACAACTGATTTAAAACAAAAACCCAGAAACATGCCCAATCGCGATGAAAATTGAACAAAAGGCTGAAAAGTGCGCAAAAATATGCTGGTAATTACATTTTTTTTAATGAGACACGTGGGATGATGAGACGGGGAACGGCGCGATGGCGACACAGGCGAGATCGCGAAGTGGGATTTGAGCCCTGACGCGTCGCTCGAAGGCGAGAGCAGAATCACTTCGACTGCGGGAGGAATCCGATGAGCGAGGAAGCATCTTCTGTTCACAGGTGTCCAGTATGGGCGGGTCAGCAAGTTACACACAGCAACCGAAACAACAACAACAGCAACAACAAAAACAACGATTGGATTTTTTTTGTAAGCAAGTCATTAAATCTAGATTTTAAGTTTTCGTGACTGCAGGGATCCATACTCTTTGGTTCTTTCGGTAAAGTCACGTAGGTAGAAAATTAAATAAATTAAATCACGATGTTTCGATTGCAACACAAGCAATCATCATCATGTGGGAAAACCACAGCAAAAAACAATTATTGCTGTGGTTTTACCACCAAATGTATTTTATTTCATACCTACGTGACTTTACCGAAAGAACAAAAGAGTAAGTTATTAAATATAAATAAATACAAAATTGATATGATCAGGGGTTGAGAAGACCGAGTGGCAGCCAAATAAAAAAACTATTAAACGATTTGTTTTATCGTTTAACACATAGCAGGCTTTCGCGACCAATATTCATAATAAAGGTTTTTGGGTTAGATCGCGTAAGTATAAATGTGTCGAAACCCTCCACCACTCACTCGACACATTAGTAAGGGATTTGTCACGTAAACAAAACTCCAAATAGTTACTACTTCATCCCACCGCGATCTAACCCAAAACCTTTATTATGGACAATTGTCTTTATTCACAAAGTAAGGCCCATTGCGCTATATAGCTCTTGTCAGAAGCGACCTGGCCACAAATGATAGCTCAACGCAGTGGCTCATCACGTGGAAATTATAGCAGTTGCCAAATACTCTAAACGCGTGATGTTGATTCTAAACGCGGAGGGAAAACCCTGAAGGACCCGGAAAAATCCACGAACCGACGGGGAGAGAGAGAGAGACACGCAAACTCCAAATAATCAGTAGACGTCGGGATCGAACCCACGGTCTCCTGCATACCAGGCGAGGGAGTTAACATATCTGCCCGCTCGTGAGGACGTCTACCAAAGAGAATGAAGTGGCGAGCTCAACTCGTGTGCAGGAGCTATACGGGATTGGTCGTTGCATCGCACGGCCGTGAAAGACGCCGACAGCTTGGGGAGGTCTTCATTCAGCGGTGGATAAAGCATAGCCGATGATGACACCCCCCCCTTCATCCAGGTTGACGTATCACACGTGACTTGATAGCTCCATCGCAGCGTGATCCACAAACCCCGCCTCGTCATCTTCGCTGTAGTACGGCGGTTGGAGATCCTCAGCCCACGTACGTGGTGTGGGACTAGCGGAGTGATTGACGTTGCGAGGGTCACGGGAAAGAATGCTACTGAGTTCATGGGTGGAAAAAACCCAATTTTTCCAGCGGCAGGCATTGGGTTTTTTCTTTAATACAATTAAACCCGATTTCAGGGAATTAAAACCTGGTTTAATGAATACGAAACTCTGATCCAAGGCTTAGGCTGCTTCCTCGTCGGTGCTGTTATCGTACTCGGGGGGCCGTCGGGCACGGGGTAGTCGTAGAATGCGGCGGGCAGGTTGGTCTTGATGATCAAGAGCTTCTGCTCCACAATCGTGGGCGCCAGTGAGTTCCTTAGCTTGGAATGGATGAAGCCCATCGTTGAGAAGTTGGCTAAGTGCGGTTCTGCAATTAGAACCAATTAAACCGGATTTCTCCCAATCTCAGATGATCGGGTTTAATATAATAAGACAATTAAACCCGATTGTAAAAAACCCGAGTGTGCCACCCTTGGCTGAGTTGGTGGTGGAAGCGGGTGAAAGTGACCCAAGTCGCGTGATCGATAAGACAGCAAGGCTCAATCGCGCCGCCTGGTGGTCCGTGTGGAGGAAGTCACGCTTTGTGGGCGTTATTGTTGTACAAGGGGGTCCAAGAATGTCTTGCGAGCCCCTATTAATTCTCTAAAACGTAATTTGTGTTTTTTTAAGTAAGGGTTAACAGTATTTAGAACAGAAATTTATATGCAAAAGGAAAATAACATTTGGGGGAAATTTAATTGTGGGTCACACGCATAGGTGGAGTTTGACTTATATGCAGGGTGCTTCAAAAACATGTTAACACTTATATGGGACTATCTTTATATGGAAAAAAGAACAGATAATACACTGTAACATGATAACAAATGTAATGTTAATAGCTTCAAAAAGTAAAATAATCTCCACTTGTTCGCCATCATTGTCAACACGTTGCCTGGAATCTTCTCCAGGTGGTCTCCAGAGCCTGGAGGCACATTTCTCGTGGTATTGTTGCAAATTCTCAGAAGTTTTAACATTTTTTTGAAGCACCCTATATTTGGGAGGGTGGCAGGGGTTCGCTTTGTCCCTCACATTAGGAATCGCGGGTGCATATACATTTTTTAAACTCTTAATTGTAAACTATTGAAATGTTTTTCTTTTTCATGTGTCCGCCCATGGTCACAAGGCACCTGGACCACCCTGTGTACATTGAGACAGGAACACGTGGTTCAGAGAAAATGAAAACGAACTTGGCCGTTGGTCAAGACGAGCAACTGAGCGGCAGCCAAAGGGGAAAACAAGTCTGACAGAGCCAGGGGGGAGATGGGAATATTTGACCGTGAATGTTTAACCAAGTAACCTTGCACCTGCGCGTCTCGTCTCGTAAAGATAGGGATCTTTTCGTGAAGGAATGACACAAATGCACACGTTTTCTCATTGAAAATAGGTACATTTCAAAATATCACAAAAGCAAAGTTTGTGGGGAATAATTGCAATTTTCTGTACTTTTGAGGCATAAGCAATTAGAAAATAACACTTACTACCCAGGAACAAAAAAAAAACGTGTTACGTAATTATTATAATTATTATCAATCAGCAAGAGCCCGAAATTGCGAGGGAGCGAGGGAGCGAGACGCGGAGACGCGCCCTCGATCACTCCAATCAGGGGTCGCGCACCCGCAATTAGCGTGG